TATTATTGTTATTATTATTATTATTATTATTAACATTATTATTGTTATTGTTATTATTATTATTGTTATTGTTATTATTATTATTATTATTATTATGTAACGCGGAATATGAAGGTGTAGAAGGTGTAAATGTTGATGTTTCTGATTGAATTGTGGCTTCAAGAGTTGCTTCTTCTCCATTAGATTCAAGTCCCATTGGATGGTCTGATGATATGTCAGAATATTCTTCCATAATAACATCAGTTTCTTCATCTCCTTCTTCTACTACTTCATCTCCTTCTTCTTCTTCTTCTCCTCTAGTAGCAGGTAAAATATAAGGATAAGATTTGGCTGATGATGTTCTCGTTTTATGTATAATGTGTAATGGTCGATGTACATGATATTGTTTAAAATATAAACCGCAAGCATTACATAATGAATGCATTCTATCTGGTGTTCTACGCCAGAGCGGTGTATTTTTTATACCACAATTAAAACATTGAAGTTGTCGAGGAGGTTTAGAACCTACTCTTTTTGACTCCCTATGATTTGTAGCTCTAGAACCACTATCAATAGATTGTGTCCTTCCTGTTTGAGCTGAAACCAGTGCAGAAACAGCTGATTGAAGAGCTGACAAATTACTTTCATATTCTTTTGGTGTTGGTGGAGTATTCGAAATTGGTGAAGTTTGCGATGACATTGTTTCGGTAGAAGCGGAAGAGTCGGCAGAGTTACGACGAGACGATGTAACTTTGCATAAAAAAAAAAAAAGTAATAAAAGCATCTAGTGTTAGATTATAATTTTTATTAAAAATAAATAAAAAAAAATAAATTTATTTATAACTTTTAGAAATAATACTTACTGCTTTTAAAAAGTTCCATATTTTTTTTATTTTATTTAAGCTTTTATGATGAAATAGAAGCTAACATCTCGTTATTAAAGAAGTCATAACTTTTACAGAACAGATAATGATGTTTAAAACCAAACAAAAAAATCATTTAATAAACTAGCATAAATAACTTACCAGACTCCTTACCAGCAGCAGTTGTAATATTAGATATATAGGATTATTGTTCTTTTAAAGTTGAACTGTTATAGATAGCGAAAGGAAGTTTATAAATTAATTTTTATCTAAAATTCTTGGTTTCGAAAAAGGTAGACAAGGACATTGTTAAGAGAAAACGAACCACAGATTTGTATACTGCTTGGAGTTGATCGTATGGTTCCATCAGATCATTGTTTCCACAAAATCTCTTTGTACACTACCCAATAATCATATACGTCATCGAATCATGTAAATTTTCGATTTTAATAACCAATCAAAATTTATTAATCTATCCGCAGATGTATATAATCAATTATCAAATTTATCGATAAAAAAATATATGTATATGTATATTATGTATTATATATATATATGTATAAGAAGATATATGAGATATAAGATATATAAGAAAGTCGGTTGATCACAATAAAAGAACTCCGTAAACATTAAATTTATTAAATTTTCAAATTTATATCACATTGATATCATCTTATTTTAGTCTATTCAATTATTGGATTGATTCATCCAGATAAAATTTAAAATTTTTTATTTGGATGAATTAAATTTTACCTGGTGATAATTACGAATTACGAAATATATATATAATAATAATATATGTGTAATTTAATGTATAATAATAATAATGTAATTTTCTTTTGAAAAACTATAAATAATAAAAATGCTAATCAGGAAATTTTTATGAAACCCAGCCACATTTCTCAAACATTTCATTTCATTTTGTATATCATTATAATTATGATTATTATGTTGTATATCATCACTAAAAAGTAATTAAAATAATCATCTGATTTATCATATGATAAAAATGAGACAAAAAAAAATCTAAATCTAAATTAAGCAATAAATAAATTGTCAATAAATAAAATTTTAATTTTGAGCAATTTTGAGTAATTTATTATACAACATTTTAACTGATTATTTTTTTGATTTTTTTTTTCTTTTTAAAGAAGAACCTTCTACACGCACATTATGGTATATAAAGAGGTAAAGGTAAAGAAAAGATATAAAGTGGTATAATAAAAAAATTTTTTATACTTAACATTATCGTTCATTATCGTTCTTTAAACAAATAAAATAAAATAAAATAAAATAAAAATATATATATGTGTGTGTATATGTATAAAATTAAATGAAATTCTTACAAATAAAGAGCCAGCCCGATCTTTTTTCCCAAATATACAATTACTTAATT